GATGGACGTGTCACAGTTCTCATGGGACTCTGCACAATGAGGGGGCCTGGGAGAGGGTGAGACAAGGGCAGGGCTGCTGACCTTCTCCCCCAGCAGCACTGAGAGCTGAGGTGGCCTTGTCCCCAGGAGATGAAGGAGATGGGGAAGGTGCCCCCCTCCCCTCCCCACTGCTGGGAGCTCCACAGGGGAAGGGGAGAGGCATGAACAGCTGGGACAAGGCCTGGAGCAGGGACTGGGCAGGAAGAGGCAGGTCGATGGGGTGAATTTTCCTTTTTCCCCAGTCTGGCCGTGAGTTCAGCCCTATAATGCACTAAACAGGTAATGTGTCCTCACCCTCCTCAGCCCCTACCAGGCCCAGGTGGGTCCTACAGAGTGTACTGGGTCTTAAGTGAACTCCAGCTCAGTTTTTGTTTCTTGCCCAATTCAAGATTTCACAACCTGAGTTCTCTGGAAACTGTTTTGAGAAGTACTCTCTCCAAGGCGAAGGTCAAGAGGTGTAGGCACCAGATCAGAGAGCAGCTTTGCATTCTTCCCCCAGGAGCCCCCTTTGAACATGGCTCCTCAGAAACAGCCAGGACAGAGCTATTGCTGAAGTTCCCAGATGCCCATGTGCCCAGCTAATACTTTTACCAGGGGCCTTACAATTTCAGGAGTGCCTAGATCACTTTGGACTTTGGAGCAGGTTGAGAGCTTATAAGTCTAGCCACAGATGCCATCCATTCATTCCACCACAGGTGTTTCTGAGACCACATCATTGCTCAGGGTGGCACTGTCCACCTGCACCTCTCTCATGTGTACTCCAGCCCGGAGGTGGTGGCAGAACTCTGGGTGCTGCTGACAGCTTCCTGGCAAGATGCTACCTACTGCTAAGAGAAAAAGACAAGGCTTGAGAAATCAAGGGCTGACCAAATCATGTCCTGCTTGGACAGTATCTCCTGACAAGTCCCTGAGGAGACAGAGGACACCAAGAGGCAGCTCAGTACTAAAGAAAAAGGAGAAATTTTTCTAGGAAGGAGCCTACCAGATGACTTGATTGGAATGAAATGGCACAAGGAAAAATGCCACCAAGTTTGAACAGGGAATTGACATAAGATATCTGGATTTTTTGGATAGCTATCTTCTTTTCCTGAGAGTCACCTCAGCATCTTTACTGAGTCTGAGTAATTCACACAAACAGGATTGACTGGACAAATCAGAAGTAAAAAGCTGCTTTTTCACGAATGGACTAATTATATAAAAATCAGCATTTCTCAAGACAAAAAAGCAGATGAATAAAAATAAATGTGCATCCTCTTATGAAGCTTAGGTCATGTTGTGTTTTGCTCAGACTTTAAGTTCTTTGAAGTGTGGAGCTGTGGGGGAGATTAAGATTTACAAATCTGTAGGCATTTAAACCCCTCTGAAACAATGACGAGGCATTCACAAGGAAGGTTGAAATCAGACAACCCATAATACTTGATGTAGAAAATGTTCCAGCTTCCATAATTCTTTATTAAATATTTGACAGGTTGCATCACTTCTTTACAATAACTTCATTTTCTCACATTAGTCTTTTGCTGTCAGGAAAACAAGCTACATTTTTCTCTTTAGATCTCCCGAGAAAAAAGTAAAGCAAGAAGGATTTGTTCTTTCAACAAAACTTTCCCTATGTCTATCAAATTCGACCGTACTTTAAAGCTATTCTGACAGTGAAAATGAGCATTATCTGTAAGTTGTCTTTAAAAAAACTTCCAGGTAGTTTGGTTTTGACCACTGTATCAAATAGTACTTGGCTTCATGTTAAGGAGGTGGGTTTATAATAAAAAGTTATGAAACACTGAGAATTCATTTGGAATGCTTGAAACTCTTTTACCTTAAAAGTCACTGTTTTTTTCCATGTTTTATTTGGTAGTAGACAGATCCTGAATTAAGAAAGGACAGCAAATTAACATCGTCTTCCTAGGGATCTCTCAGGCTCTGAGTGCTAGAATTTTCAGAACACAGCTTGGAGAGAAAACTGCTGAAGGGACCAAGCTCTTATTCCCTTTTGAAACCAGATTACTCAATAAAGATGTAAAAATGCTATATAAATATATACACAGACATTTGGACAGCATATGTACGTATATATATTACACCATAGTGAAGGGGGAACAAAGTCACACTAAGTGGACATGAAGGAAACGGTGACAATCTAGGTGACATTAGTCTGAGTAGGAGCAGCGACTGGCTTATTCAGGAACAGGTATCTATAGACATGGGGTTATGGTTACCAGAAAGGCTTTGATGTGTGGGTACAAAGTTGAGTACACCGGAGTGCAGGAGCCAAAGGCCATGTCCTCAGACTCCCATTGCTACTCCTCACAAACATAAAACCAACCCATAGGAAGACATGCACTTGAACATGCTGTTGCTTTGAGCGTGACATCTTTAACAAAGGATAGATGCGTAACAAGGGGTGTCTTCGGAAAATTTCATACCAACGGAAAGTTACCCCTTTCCGAGAAAACATTATACAGGCTTACATCCTAATGCCACACGGCACTTTCTCTGACAGTGAGAACACCCTGGCGTGGGGGTGTACGCACGCAAGTATATAGACACCGTTAAGGCTTAATATAAATTTAAAAAGTGGTCCAAAGTATATCACACTTTCTTCCCAGTTTTTTAAAATCTAAAGTACAAAGTTGGGGTTTATGACGATTTTTTAAAAACACATCTCAGTCCTGAAATTGGCAGTTTTGACACGACTTACCAGGATGTACCCCAATGCCTGAATGAGACAGAGGTAGTGCACGATCTTCCGGGGTCAGGGAGGGAGCTGGACAGGCAGT